AACATCACACATGTGCAGCTGTGGCGACGGCTGCCAGTGTGTGGGCTGCGCGGCTCACCCTTACAACGATGCGACACAAGACTACGTGCGATCTGCATACACAAGTATGCTGGACGACTCTTATGGAATGACGAATGGTACGAACGGCACGAACGGCACAAATGGGCACTCGGAGACAGCAACGACCAACGGGACTGGCGCCCGCGGATTGGATGCACACACGAACGGCGAAAACAGCGGTTCTCCTGCTGGGCCGCAAACACCTTCCGATGGAGCCTCAGTGTTGAGTGAAGAGCAGGCACTATCGGCGAACGACTTCTTCTTCGTGACATACCCGTTCAACGGTGACGGATGCGCTGGCGAGACGTCGTCATGTCCATGCGGCGACGATTGTCAGTGCCTCGGCTGCTCGATACACAATAACTCGCCCATGCCCGAGTCAGGATGAGGGGTGTTCGGGTGTGTCGAGCTGGGGTCCGCAAAGGATTAGGTTTTGCGGAATGTTTTACCCTCGACGGTGGATACGAAGGAGTCTTTTGGAAGGTCGGCATTGTTCAGCCGTTTTCGAGTTGCATACGCGGTGTTTGGAACGATACCCTCTACTGGCCGCATCATAGTACTGATAGAATAAATACTCGTTCATAGAACGTTTGACGATCCGGTGATTGAAATCGAAACAGAAACTAATCAACACTTCCCTCGCGTACCGTTCACAGTGAAGTCAAGAATGAGCTGAGAAATACCTACACTGGGCTGACACAGCTAGAAATTGACAGACGATAGAGCCCGGGCTCAAGTGCCGTAATTCAGACATTACTTTCGGAGTTGTCGTGGGCAGGAGAGGGGAACTCGGCACGGTATGTGCTGCCTTCCGGCGCCGAAGTTGGGGTACCCACTGCTCCGGTCCCCAGGGCAGCCACGCCGCGAGACCAGGGGAGTCTCCAACTTTTTCCTTGCCGTCAGGAGGCACGGACGTCGACTTCTCGTACAACAACATCGCCGCAAACGACCAACCTTGCAACTACCGTACCGTACTTTGATATTTAGCACCATTACAATTCCTCACCTCTCGAGCTTCTTCATTACCTGCCGCCGCAAAATTCACCTTGGATAACCAACCCCATTCGGCATCCTCCGAATATTGCCACCCCCCTTCCTTTGGGTGCGCAGGCCAATTTCGGCTGATCGGCTTCACCGTCGCGGCAGATTCTCGCAGCCTGAAACTGTGGTCAAACAAAGAGACGGCCACGATTCGACGTCCGGACCAGAAATCCTTACCCCACACACCTACTACCTCGCTTTGTCAAGTTTCTCTTTGGGGAGAGAGCAGTCGCCATCCTTGTCAAGAGATATCTGACGTGCGACCTTGCTTGTCACATTTTTGGGAACGAACCCCAAAAGCAAGGAGAAAAGCTTGTTTTCCGAGGTTCTTTCGAGAAGGACGTGTCGCAAACAGGCAAGGAGGGGTCTTGCGTGTGGTGTGTCAACGAGGGTGCCTTATCGTGGATCTTTTCATCTTAATCTCATCCCAACTTGGCGCATCCTTGCTCGAGAGCGTAGCTCACTCATTTGAACGTCAATTCGTCCTCTGAAGTATGGCCGGAGACGACGAGCGCTCGGGTGAGCGGAGGGGTGAGGAGCGGAGATACGGACGGACCCGCTCCCGGTCAAGGTCGCCGAGACGGCACCGGGACGAAGTGAGGCGGAGGTCACCCGTCGGCGAGGGCGGTTCGCGTCGGGAGCGGAGTATGAGATCCCCCCGCAGAGACGACGGCGGCAGCCGCCGCGACCGCGACCGCGATGACCCGGAGGATGGGGATTCGAGACACAGGCATCGACGCCATCATCATCATCGTCGGCACCGAGATGGGCCGCGTGACACTGCCAGCGGGGGCGGCACTGCTTCGAAAGAGAAGAAGGCGGCTGCTGCGGCAGCGTCGTTGCCGTATGAGGCGCGCCAGCTGGGCAAGTCGGAGATGGAGGTGTTTCGGCCGCTGTTGGCGTATTATCTCGACCTGCAGAAGCAAAAGGACATTCGCGAGATGGACGAGAGGGAGGTGAGGGGTCGGTGGAAGAGTTTCGTGGGGAAGTGGAACCGCGGGGAGCTGTCGCAGGGGTGGTATGATCCCGAGATGTTTGTCTCCGCCAAGGAGAGGGCCCTCGAGGTCGGGATTGAGGGGCTTCCTTCGCGGGGCTCTGATGGGAGGGGGAGAGAGGAGGTGGTGGAGAGGAGCGAGGAGAGAGATTGCAACCGGGAGAGGACTGATGAGGAGGATGATGGGGATCGTAACGACGAGGAAGATGACGACGACGACGACGATCTTGGACCGAGGCTACCGCCCACCTCGCGAGGTACCGGCCAGCGCTCCGGCCCCGGGATCCCCAACATGGTAGACCTCTCCCTGCAGCGCGAGACCCTCGCCGAGGAAGCGGCGCGCGACCGCTCGGCGCGTGCGTCGGATCTCCGGCAGGCCCGGAAAGAGGACAGGAAGCTGCAGCGGGAGAGGCTGGACGACGTCGCCCCGCGCGCGGAGGCCGGGACGCGGGAGAGGCAGCTCGAGAAGAGGGCGGCGGTCAACGAGAAGATGAAGGAGTTCCGGGAGAAGGGGTTAGGCGGGGATGGTGGGGTGGCGGAGGTGGGCGAGCAGGAGCTCATGGGCGGCGGTGATAGTTTTGCCGAGTTGAAGGCGATGAAGGCGAGGGAGGAGAGGAAGAAGACGGAACGGGAGGTTAGGAGGGAGGAGATTGCGAGGGCGAGGGCTGCTGAGCGGGAGGAGAGGGTTAGGGAGTATCGGGAGCGGGAGGAGGGTGTTATGAAGGGGTTGAGGGAGCTGGCGAAGCAGAGGTTTGGGTGAGGGATGGGGAGATGTGAGTGTAAAGGGGGAGGATGTCATCATGGTCTGGATCCAGGCTGGGTAGATTGGCCAGGCAGTATATGTATCCGTTCGGTCGGTATCTGGATGAATGCGCCCTATCTGTCTTCGTCATGACTTTTTCGGGAGGTGGCTCGGCGGTCATGATAGGGTCGGGTCGGGCTTCAAGTGAGAGCGATGATTTACTAGAGGGGATGGTAGGTGAATAGGGCGGTATGTATAAAGTTGCTAGCTTGTCACGCTCGTCACGCTCGTCTCACTCGTTTGAACGATATGTAACGAACACGTGCGGGTTGCTAGGCTGAGATAGATAGAGGAAGAGGCGATGTCCTTTAAATTATACTTATTAGTTTGCTGCGTTCGTCTCGCTTGTCTAGATAGTATATAATGAGTACGTGCGTGTTGTTGGGTCGTGGACGGAGTTATGAGATAGTTAATGCGAATCTCTTGCGGGGACGTAAGTCTCTTAGTATGCCTGTGTTTGAACTTCCTTGGCTTGGATATAGAACTTCTTGGGCCCGAACGTTTTAGATAAATGTGTGTCCCTTAAATTAGCGCGAGTCACTTAGATAAGTGTATTGTTTTTCGAAGAAGCTAGACCTCCTTGTTAAAAGATATAAAGAGTATACATTATAAATAGAAGTCTAGTTCATAGTATTATACAACCCCGCCTGTACCTTTAACAAGAAGACCGTTCAGATTAAAAACTTAGGACCCTTCGATTCCGACATGGCATGTGATCTATTAAGAGTAGCTAGGCTATTATTTAAGGGAGTAGTGGTCTCAAAGGCTTTTGGTCTTAAGAGACCCAGCAGAGATGCTTCATAGGCGAGCTCATGGCCTTTTTCCTACTATAATAATACTCGCTAGCTCGTCATGCTAGCTCATCACGCTCATCTGCTCGATGTGTGGCGAATACGTCCGAATCGCTGGATAATGGGCGTTGGCAGGGCCTTTCTTTAGTTCTTGTCTCTTTCAATGGGGTGAGCTTGAGTGAATCAGGCAACCCGACAGTATACGGCAAGCTCGACCTCAGCACCATCATCAGTCTCACTGCTACTAAGCCTCCTGTCCCGGCCCATTGCCTCTGCCCGAGAGTCGCTAGATGCCGCTGGCGTGAATCCTTTTATAAGATGGCAAGACGGGATCGTGTCAGAACGAGGAGATCTTCATCTGGACCTCCCGGCCGCCAGGCCGAACCTTCCTAAGCCTACGCATGTCATAAGGTAGCCCTGTTACAGAGACGTCAGGAAGACTAGTCGATAGTCTTGTAGTGAATAGTAGTTAAACGTGCGGTCTTGAAGCGCAGTCTCTTCCTGCTTGATGAAGTGAGTGAGTGGCCAGGAGTGAACACAGCTTGACATCGTTAGTCGCCCTTTCTTAGTGCCAGAACCGAGCTTTGCTGAAGCAAGGCTTCTTTCAAAGCCGCTCATCTTCTGGTGAAATGGAACGAAGACTTTGAATGCCGGCGGCTTGTCTCCTTTTATGGCTGGTAGGCTTCTTTGCACGTGGTCCATGAGCGATATCTCTCAGACAAATTGGTGCCGATGAAAGGATGCTGGAGGCATAAAGAAAGCTGAAGGCGTAGTTCGAAAAAGTTCATCATATCCTGATGAGACTCGTTTATCGAGACCAGAGAACTCACTCAGCACTTCATATACACTTGGGAGATGAAGTGCCAGCGCCTGCTTCACACTGTGTTCAAGCCCACCAATACTTCATTCTTTTGGTTGGAGATGGGGGACAGTCTCACACTGTACCCACTTCACTTCGTCGCAAGAGAGAAAAAAAAACGATGTCGAAAATTGCGACTCATTTGCGATTGACCCCTCTACACCCCGCATTCATTCAAGTAAGTTGATCTCAACCTTCACCATGTCCCGACCGTAACTGACGCTCTAGCTAGAGTCAGCAAGTGAAAATATTCTCACAGAGAGAAGCTCGTCACATCATTCTTTCCCGGAGTCTCACAGAGAGACAACCTAGCGCTCAGCTCATCACAAGGTCTCTCTCTCTCACTTGGACCTGCCCCTCTTCAACCAGGGTATCAAGATACCTCTCAGTCGCTGCTCTGGGACTACACCCACCACCACCAACGCACTTCGCAAACGATACACACGCTTCATAATGAGCCCAGTAAGCGACGTCGCCGACGGCGACACAGGCGACCTCTTCGCCGACCCGGAGGACTACTACCCGCCCACCCCGCCACCCACCTCGCAAACCCACACCCTCGCCTCGGGCCGCGTCCTGACTCTGCACCTGGTCGGCTACTCGCCCACCGAAGCGCACCACCTCTGGAACGGAAGCCGGGTCGTCTCAGACTACTTTGAGGCGGACCCGTCCCGCGTCAAAGGCAAGACGGTGCTGGAGCTCGGTGCCGGTGCCGGCCTGCCGAGTTTGACGGCGGGCATCTTGGGCGCGAAGCGCGTCGTGGTGTCGGATTTCCCGGACGCGGATATCGTTATGACGATGCAGAAGAATGTGGACGAGGCGGGGGATCTGGAGGGGGTCGTGGTGCCCAAGGGGTATGTCTGGGGCGCGGACGTGAAGCCTTTGTTGGCGGAGATTGCTTATCCAGCCGAGGGGGGAGAGAAGAAGTTTGACGTGCTGGTGTTGGCGGATCTGCTGTTCCGGCACTCTGAGCACGGGAAGCTTGCTGATACGATCTGGGAGGCGCTGGCGAGGAAGGAAGGGAGCGTGGCGTATGTGTTCTTCACGTCGTACCGGCCGTGGCTGAGGCACAAGGACCTGGCCTTCTTCGATGTCGTGAGGGAGAGGGGGTTGCTTGTCGAGCAGGTGTTTGAGAAGAAGATGGAGAAGCCGCTGTTTGATGGAGACCCGGGCGATTTGGAGATTCAGAAGACGGTGAGCGGGTTTGAGGTGCGGTGGCCGAGGGAGCTGCTGGAGGAGAGCAAGGCATGAGGGATGTTGGGGATGTTGAAGACGTTGGACGAGGGACGGTTAGTGTCTGCTGGATTGCGTTATGGGATCTCTGAGCCATGGGCGAGTGGTTTTCTACGAGGAATGAGCATTAAGGAAGAATTGGGTGGGCATATCTGGACTGGAAAAAACAAAAAGCATGGGATACAAATGAAAAGGACACCAAAGAAATTCTCTACTGAGGATGATATCATGAAAGAGACATTCAAATGGACCTTTGAAAGAAAAAAAAGAAAAAAGAGAAAGGGACGGAGGGGGAATACTGACCTTATAATCCACGCCCCTGCCCAGATTCGAACAGCGCGCGCCCCTCAGGCCAGCACGGCTTCATTGGAGTATTTTTTTTAACAACTCTGCGTCAGGGTGTAAACCACCCGGCCAATCCGGATGGGTGCTGGTGACAGGAATGAAGTTGAGGAGATATAAGTAGCCTCCTTCGACGAAAGACGGGAAGGAGGGAGGTGGTAGGTGGTAGGTGGGAAGGTACGGGTGAGGCTGCAAGACTTTACACCGGGAAGGCATTTTCCACCTGCCTCCTTCTCACTTTCCTCGTAGACTGCAGCTGGAAGGGGACCTTGATAACCATGGCTCTACGAGTTGGAGCGAGATGCTTTCAGCATTGCATGGATTTGTTGTCATTTTGCTGAAATTTATGCTATGAAAGACTTGGACCTGGAGAAGGGGGTTCTCCTGTGTCCAGCCTCTTCAAGCTGACCATCTCGACCTTTGAGACTATGAGGCAACTGGCTACGGAGTTCGAGATATGGTCTCGAGAACTTTACATATGCCGCTCTCTCGCCGGGGGCATGACACCAACATTCAATTTGTCTATTAACCATTGCCGTCAATTTCGCATGGTGCGTCACAAATATCGCTAGCCGCATGTCTACGAAAAATGTGGCTCACATTCGATCCATATGGTTTGGTTAAGAAGACATCTAGTCTTATATCAGCGCCAGGATTTGAACGAGTTGGCCGCTCAAATCAGACAGACACCGTCAGGCCACCCTCTACCGATAAGTTCCAGTCATTCTAGACCTCCGGCCCCTTTGTTACTGGCAAATAAGGTGCTAGTAGCGAGCCTGAGGACTCAAACTGCCAGCAGGTTATGAAGAGGCTACGAAAGACTACTTGACGATCCAGAACCAGAAACGTACACTGGCATGTGGTCAGAAGACGACGGCCAAGCTTCCGTTTAAATTGCGGATACTGTTCTCCTAGTTTGATTCGTCATTGCGAACACTTGATGGACAAATCTTTGCTCTGTAGACCCCCCCCCCCCCCCCGCTCCGCGTTGGTACTCACCTCAGTTATGATTCTTTTACATTCTATCGCCACAGAGTATCACTACCGAGCACCTGCCCAACAAAACCGTGAAGTTGTTTCTCATATGACAAGAAGTTCCGTTAACCGCGATTGCGCCGGAGCTGGTGCTGACTGGGATATATTACTGCTGCCTGAGGTTTGACGATGCCTACTGCGTCTGGCTACTGTGAATCATAGAAGAGTCATACCTATCGACGAACATAAGCTGCAAGGCTGACGAGAGCCCATGTCTGAGCTTCGAACTTACTGCCAGCGTTCAGAATGGTCCTCCTTCTTGAGGCGAAGCATAGCCGGATGTTCTTCAGTTGAAGTCAGCGGCCAGGCCTTTTGGGAGGATTCAAGAGGGAGAGCCACTAGTCTTGTGTTTTCCCTTCCAAACCTGGACGCATCAGCTCCGAACATGTTAATGAGGCTGAGGGGGAACACCCATGGCCTTTGTTTTCAATATGGGAGACGATCCTGATGATTTCATGGCATCACGCAGGAGGAATGATCTCGGTTGCCTCTGACCTTCTTTTCACGGGCATCTACGAAATATACCAACGACAGGCCCTTAGGCCTCGGCATACGATGACGGTCTGGGCTTGAAATCTATTCCCAGAGAGGTCTATAGGCCTGTTAGTTTTATATCCGCTGTCAGAATAAGTGAATGGCGCCTGATAATCTCTCGCAGTTCATATTTACGGGGTAAGATCATCGGGTCGAAAGGTCACTACGGCACCAATATGTCGACCAAGAGTGACAGGATTCAAGTTAATCTTCCTATTGCTCCAACCAAATAGCAAGATCGCATGAATTATGAAGACTGCAGAACCTATGCTTGGAACCCGACATCACTACTATATCCGTCGCCGCAAATATATCTCCACGGAACAAGCACAAATTTAGGCTATGCCATGAGCATTGATAAGGTGCTACACATCGAGGAAGCATCACTGCAGAGTACTCTAAGCTCTAGCCTTGGCGTTGGAGAAAGCCATGTTACGACGGAACGCCCGCCGATTATCGGGATCTCGATAGTCATGATGGAGGGGACCATCCAGCGCGCAAAGCTTCGGTGATGGGACCGATTGTAAGGGTTGCTTCTCCCGGCACTTGCGGGCAGGTCGGGTGTGTTTAAACATTTCGGGAGTCCAAGCGAACGGGTCAGCCAAGACGAACCACGGTCTCAGGTAGCCCCGTGCTTGAACCTTTGATCACTGCGCTCTGCCATTTGGACAGCTTGATGTTTATATCCGTAATCGTTGCGAGAGATGGATGATGGGACTTCTGGAGTTTTGCCCGCCCTAAGCTTTTTTCGAGCGATCCTATTCAGACGTCGGCTTTTATTCCGCGTCCGCGAGTTTGTGGTCCGCTGTCCTGCGCTTCGAATCTCAATATCGATTTGGCTAGCCATGTAGCTTCCCGGATCAGAACGGGAAGAGCTTGAGATAGGCTGTAGGTGACAGGGTAATGCTTATGCAAGACTCTAGCAGAGTTCTGGTTGGAAAACCTTGATCCACCGGCAAGTCGGATAGCAGCTTCAGGCGCGATAGAGTCCCAAGGAGGTCAAAGGGGGAGCTCCCGGCCGGAGTGGACACGAATTCGGAATGGAGGGGACGCGAGAGGAAGATGGAGCTTAGCTGGTTTTGACACATTGGCGCCGAGGTTCTCCTCCCCCGCTGGACGTTGAGGAACCTTTGGTTGGGGGTCGTAAATGCCGGGGGATTGCACAGCGACGTGGGGTGGACGAGGAGAAGCAAGGCAGGAGATGTCGAGGAGGAGAGTTTCGAGTACATACGGATACGGGGTTACTATGCATTATACTCTGTACAGATAGCCTATAGATGTAGTACCTATGTGAAGATAGAGGGCGATGAGATGGCTCTAGTCGAAGCTGCTGTTGTGCAAAACGGATGAGCGATGGGAAACATTAAAATGGGGAAGGACAATCCGGCGACTGTGGGGCGGTCGTCGAGAGCACGGAGGCAGGAGCATGGGGCATACCTTACGCAGTAGAGAGCACAGACCTTGTCACCAGCGCTTACCCCACACTTTGCACCTTCCAGGCCAAGTTGAACGGGGAAGGCAGGCACCTCAGACTCAGCGCAGGTGCGTCCGCTGCACTTGCCCGCTGCAACTTCTTACATGAATTGCCATGAATTGGGATTACTGAGGCAAGAAAGTTAAGAGACTTTGAAGTGCAAGCTGCCTAAGGTGACTCCTGCGTACTCTGTACTCCTTCCTGCCTAGGTACCTGTCGTGCTTGCCTCTCCTCCGCATTGAGGTGGATGCCCTCCCAATTGGCATTGGAGCTTGGTTCCCATCCTCAGAACTCGCCCATTCCCACCTCCCACACCCACCCTTTCCCTTTCCCGCCATTTCACCACACCTCACGCACAACAAAACTGGAACAATCCACCGACCTCCCTCTGGCTACTGCAAGCTGCAGCCATCGGGAAATTTCTCAACTGCAAGGTAGCTTGGAGATGGGATGTCACGTTCATGGAAGGGTCTCCAATACGAATGGGTCCCCGAAAATTCGTCGCAATTTCCCGCCAGCCAGAAGGCCCCTTTCGAAATCGAGAGAAAGACAGACCTGGACGAAGGAGAGAAAAAAAAAAAAAAAAGAGGGGGGCCCGAGCCTGGTCAAGTGAGCCAGCGGAGTATCGGCCGGATGCTTGCCGGGCGTGCCTCAGAAAAGAGTAACAATATTTCACGAGAACGACAAGAAGCACGAGGAAACTGACGGATATACCCTTCCGCGGCCCAAGGGCACAGAATGGTCTGACAGGGTTCAGCATGATGGATCGACTGAGCACACACTAATAATGGACGGAAGCATAGCCAGACATGCATGCCACAGGTATGGCTTGTTGTTCTTGGGGTAATCAATCATTAGAGGCAATGTATCTTTTCCCTGTTCTGTTCTTGTCTCCCCCTTCTAACCTTTGATGCTCTTGCGTTGCAGTTGCACCGAGACACCCGACTGCGACTCTTGTGCCCGCTCCTCTCGTCGCTCGCTACCTAGTCTCGACGGGCAGATGGGCCTACGTGGTACGGTGTTGGACCACCAAGTCGCACGCCATGTAACAGTCCTGTGGCTGATTTGTTATTTTATGAACTTATTTTGCCTCTACAGCTTTTGGAGCTTGTTCGGGAGGTTTACGTTTTACTAATCCCCTCTTCCCTCCGGCAAGCTCCCGTCCTTTCCAGTGCGCGTCTCGGACTCCGCATTTGGAGATATGGAGCTGGGTAGCTTTTGCTGGGAGGTGAGGGTATGTAGCTGCCCAAACCCCAATGTCCATCGTGCAGGGATGGTGGCCGTCGCTCTGGAGTCCCAGCTTCAGATTCAGATTCCTTTGAAGCTCATGACACACAGCAACCGGGGGTGGGGGTTGGGTTGAGCTAGGCCACACAGGAACGCACCGGCCCAGAAGCAGCAAACCGAGCTTTGCCTCGTCTCGCCTCGCCCGATTCTACAACAGCGGGAAGGTGAAGCTGATCAGGGCCGAGAGCCCGGGGGGTTTCGAAATGGACAAGATCGATCATCTCTTCTCACTACCCTGGCACTCCTGGCACGCCGCACGCCTGACTTCTGCACGTTCAAATACACTACGGACTACTTGGCCTTGGACAGACGGCGTCGTGTGGTTTCTCCAAAAAGAGGACGAATGAGTGGTCCGTTGGCGATGTGGCCGTCTCATCTAGGGCTCCCTGTCACGATTGGCCGCGATTGCGAAGCTGCCATTGGCGCGTCTTGAGACCAGCAGTGTCCCCGGTGTGTATTCAGACGCCTAATGGAGAAGCACCCATGATCCCCTCCCGGCGTCAGTGCAGCACAAGGCAGCTTGCACAGACACGTTGACGCAGAGTCCAGGAAGAGCATGGCTTGCTTGTGTGCCAATTAGCCTGGCTAGGTACTCAGATGCAGAAGAGGCAGAGGAATACCGACGTGTGAGTGCAAAGAAGACAAGAGCCAATCAGTTGGTGATGGTCTGGAATGAAGAGAAACAGCCGTGGTAGCCCACCAGCAAGCCGCAACGACAACAAGCAGATTGGAGTAGAAGCTTGTTGAGATGAGACGAGATTCCGATATTCGTTTTTTTGCTTTAGTTTGCGTCTTGGGATCTCGCCCTCTCACCAATGGATCCACGGTGCAGATGCAGATATAGCCCACTCGACAGCAGATGACGGAAGTGCCTTAGAGTTATCCGTAGGTATCTGCTTGACTGGATTGCTTGACTGGATCATCGGCCTCCAGTGGCCCTTGCCGACGAGGGATGATTTCATGGCTGAGCTCCCATTGGCACTGGCTGTGAAGCTCCCCGCCCTGCTTCCCCCACCACATGCAACCATCTTTAGGGTGGTTGAACAGGGCAGTCCTTGGTTGAAGCTTGGCCCAGCCGCTACTTGACTAGGTCATCCGAGGAAGGTCTCTTGTTGGTGTGACCAAACGCAAAAAGATACTTCACACATGTCAACCTCAAAGTCCCCTTTTAAACAATCGAGTCTACGGATACCTGACTACGAATGCCCAAGGCCACCCAGAGTGAGGTGAGTCTCAGAGTCTCAATTCTGCTGCCCCAAATCATCTCGCTCGCCCAAGAATCCTTCGACGCCTTTCGATTCTCGATGTAGGTAGACATCATACTCGGGTCAGATACCTTGCGCGCTTGTCACCCTTTGCCCTTTTCTTCTGACCTTTTTCCATCTACTTGCTACTGATGCATGGTCTCTTTGCCGGCTCCGGGATCGAAACCTAGGGATATCCGAATGGAGGTATGGGAGGCAAGACAAGCAAGGTACCTTTGGAGATTGGAGAGATTGGGAAGGGCAGCGGGGGTTGGCTGAGGTAAGCTACCTTGTCATTGGTCGGGGATGGTGGGATGGACCTATGGTCGTAGGTACGTAGATACTTGGGTACGTAATAAGCTACCTACCTTAGGTAGGTAGGTCAGGTAAGGTAGGTACTGTGCAAGGTGAAGGAGCACCGGGAAAGAGCGACCAGTGACAGACGCTACGAGTGCGGCAGTGGCAGCGGCAGTAGCAGCACGAAGCAGGAGCAGGGCACCTTGGTGCTTCTCCAATGCGGAGAGAGAGGAGACAACCCCAGACCCCAGATTCTTGCCTGGATTTCCCCCATTCAACGGAAGCCAATTCTTTCTCTCCTCATCACTCTCTCCACCTTTTCCCACCCATTACCACCACCCGGCCACCACCTCACCACCACCTCACCTCACCTCACCTAACCTCACTCACGGGCAACCTCACATCACACCTCTCACAAAATACACTTCACTTCCATCACTCGCCAGGCACCTCACTCACACTCGCACACGCACACGCATACGCATACCGACACACGCGCGCACACTCTCAGACTCAGACTCAGACTCACACTTTGGACACGCGGGCGCACTACACTCCCTCCCTGCTTCTACCTACCTAACGCATTACCACCGCGGCTTTCTGCCTCCTCATCGCTTCACGTTTCTCAATTCCTCCTCCTCCGCCTCCGCTTTCTTCACACCTACCACCTCACCTACCTTACCCGCCTCCTCCTCACGCAAAGGGCCGCCATCATCAAACTACGTTACCAGCTCCATCTCCAAATTGTCCCCCCATTGGCACACGCGCCGGTCCTGTACACACGACGTATTAAGCATTAATGTTGCATGCGAAAGCATCCCTCCTCCATTAATCTTCCGCGGCACTCCGTTAGATTAGACCTTCCATTGTCGCTACCGCCACCTCAACTTTGAACAGCCGGCACACCAGCCAGCTCTTCTACCGACCGCCTCACGCGACATCTTTCGACCTCCAAAATTTCCCCTCCCGATACACGTAGTATCTCCATCTATACATCAGACTCGCCGCCTCGAGTACCGGTACCACAAAGCTTTGTAGTAGCGCCGATCATATCCTCTTACCTATCTAAACATTCAGCATTATCTCCTTGTCGCACGCGCGCCGCAGACAGCCGGCATCTCCGTGTTTCCCCTCTTCCGCCGCATCCCAAGCTTAAGTTTCTCAGCTTCCAAGCTACCTGCCTTAGCTTACCGAGACAGCTCCAGCCTCTCTTTTCCGCGCTTCTGTCTCTGCACACGTTAACGTCGACGTCGGCGACTCTCTTTCTCATCGGCTACTGAGAAAGGTACGCCGCGGCTCAGCGTTTCCCTTTCTTTCGCTGCTGCTGCCCTGCGCTCTGCCTCTTCAACTTCTGCCGGGCTTCGCTACGACTTTGGTTCGCCCTACGACCTAGTCGCGTCTCTCCTCATCTTTCTCCTCTTTCTCTCACTGCTGCTCTCCCCTCCCGAGAGTCTCCTCATCCATCAATTCCCCGCCTTTTGCTCTCCCACCCCCTCCCTGCCAATTCACTTCGACCTCGCTGCCATTTTATCCAAGGTTGTTATTGTTTGAGCCGAGTAACTACGCCTTGGTTGTTCACGCTCAATCTTCGCATGCATGCTTGCGTGTGTCCTCAGCCCAACGCACAAACATCCATACACATTGCCGCAACATCCCACCGCACACACATCTCCTTCATACTCGACCTCGCTCTGCCTGTATCCGTTGTGTCACTCGTGGTGCCGTGACACCAGTACTTCCCTTCTTCCCCAAATCTTCTCCTCCTCGCGCCCAATTTTCCTCGCAACTTGCCCACCCTACCTATCACCACTACAGCCGGGACATCCCACTCCGAATCCCAACTCCTCCCTTCCCTCGCGCGTCTCCCGCATGCTGTGCGGTACCGGTTGATTCGAGTTGCAAACGCCGGCCGCCACCGCCCGTGGAC